CCTCGTCCTTGCAGAGAAAAAGCGACGGTAAACGACGGATCGAAGGCCCGAAGTCGGCCGAGAGTTCCCTCACCGAAACGATCGCGACCGAGCGAAGATGAGCGGCCCGAAGAGAGGCTCGTCTCGGATCCTTTCGGCGGGCTCGAGCCCCGGTCCCGCGGCGGAAGCGGCCGCGTTCGCCGCCCGGATCCACGTCCTGGAGCGACTCCTGACGGAACGAGACGACGCGATCGCCGAACTCCGCGGTCGCCTGGATCAATACCGAGCCGTCCTCCGAAGCGTCGCCGAGCAGACGAGCGAGAACTTCGTGAACGTCTCGAAGAAACTGGAGTCCGTCCAGACGGAACTCCTCGGCCTCGGCTGCAACGGGATGATGCTGTTGGGCTCCGCCGGGACTTCCGCCTTCGAGTCCGTCTGGGACTCGAAGGCGAAACGCGTCGCCGTCTCCGGGGAACCCCCCCGCTTGGATCCCGGCCTCTCTCTCCACGAATTCCTCCGGACTCATCCCCTCGTCAAAGTCCCGAAGGAACAAAGGTCCTCGGGGGGCGAAACCCCTTCCACTTGAGTCTCCCCGACTCGTTCTCGCGTTTCTCTCTCGGTTTCTAAACGCAAATCGATCGTTTAAAAAAAAAAAAGGAAGGTCGCGGACGTCGTCGTACGGGCTTTACGGAGGATCCATCGTCTCTCGTGAGGGTTACGTCAAAGTCAATTTATTTACATATTAATTTATTAATTAATATATTAATTTATGTATTTCTATACAGCGATAATGCACGACAGATGGCTTTCGAATGGGCGACGAAATGTCGTTAAGAAATACGAATGGGACATGAAACAGGCCGGAAGTGGCAATCGAGAGCGGGGGTCACACGAGCGGGGGTCACACGAATGGGGTCCACGTGTATTCCGTCGCGACACGACGGAAAAGGGGGACGAGTCGCCTTTTAATTGGCCTTTTCGTCTTCCAGATCGAAGGAGCTGATCAAGACGGCGATCCTGAACAACGACTTCATGAAGAACCTGGAAGGGGGTCAGATCGGCGAGATCGTGGATTGCATGTACCCGGTGGAATCCCCCAAAGGGGCTCTGCTCATCCGGGAAGGGGACATCGGGAACAAAGTCTACGTCATGGAGGGTCGGCTTTTATTTCTTTCTCTCTTTCGCTTTTTTTCACGCCTCTCCGGTGTTTCGTCATCGTCATGACGTTCGACTTTCGGCCGTGATACGAATCTCGTATGCGTTACGAAACGATACCCTAAACCGGCTCTAAATGAATCCTCGTCCGCACATTGCGAGTGCGTGTCATGCCGAAGTTTCTTCCTCGGGATATCCCACTTCCTTCCGCGTCTTTCCCC